GTGACAAGGACACGTTTTGAAGAAATTTGGTGCCAGTAACTCTTGGATGGATTTTCGGACGATTCGATCGTAGATGCTTCCACCGGTTTTTCGACAGCCTCACACGGTTTCGCTGGAGTGTGGAACTTCACTCTTCTCTCCTTGTTTCAGGAAGATAAACTATGTACAGAAGGCATCGAGAGGCAGCCGGTCATTCCGTCTGATGACACAAGTTTGGAGCACACGAGGAACGATTGGTAGTGCCTGTTATGTTTCATGTAGAACGTAGGACGGTAAGAGGAAAGTTGATGGCGTATTGCAACATCGTGAACGTGGCTAGACACCCTACCCGTCACTTATTTAGCTTTAGATGCAACGCCACCCTCAGAGGACATGAAAACTCTGAATCCAGAAAGTCAGAGGTTAGATATCGAGTGCAGCTCCCGCTCCCTAAGAGTTTTCGAATCCTGGGACTCTGTTCCTGCAAAGGCGGTTCAGACTACTCCGTGTGAGTCCTTCAAACTCTGAGTCGGCAATTATTTAAGATGTAAGCGGGAGCTGAACTCCAACTAAACGGTTCTACTCATTTTAGCCGAAAAGAGATGTGAACTTCCTGGAGAAAGTCCAGAGGCGAGCAAAGAAGGGCATCGTGGGAATAAGGGAGGAACCGTATGAGGACAGGCTGAAAGACCCAGGATTCTACTCTGTTAGCTACCATAGATTATGGGGTGGCTTGTTAACGATTTATAAAATAATGAGTAATCTAGGCCGTTCGAACAGTGGGCTCCTGCTGAACGGCCACTGTGGCGATTCGTGTGACGAACAAAGTGTAATCACCCACCAGTGGGTGACAATATGCGTGCATTCACACTTCTCTTTGCGAGTTTACGGCCACCGGAACGGACTGCCTGCAGAGATAGCTACTGCCTCGCCGGCTGACAGCTTCGAGAGGAGGTTGGGCAGTTACGCAGCGACTCATGGTTTGTGCTCATGCAGCTGGTATATATACTAGGCTGACACAACCTACTGACTCGGCACAACTCAGCACGGCAAACCCACTGCTGAATCTTCGTAACGCCACTATCATGGTGAACCTTGCCCAACCTTACACTTCTCTGCGGGAATTTCCTCCAGTCACCATCTCCCACTAATGGCATTACTATCCTCATTCCCGTAAGCCATCTGACAAGGTCATTTGCTGCCTTTCTTCCCACTGACTTTACGTTCTCACACTATGCTCTCCCTATCGCCCCCACTCCAACGAATCCACCAAGGTCTCTTTCTCCGTTCCGTTTCCCTTCACCTAATCGTGCTTCTTCTTCTTCTTTCTCTTTCGTACTTCCTCTTCCCTGATTTCTCTGGATATATTTTCCACCTTCTTTTCGCAGCCACCCCGACCAACTGTCCGCTGGGACGACACCTGAGAAAACCATCTGCACCCCAGCCGTTGAAAAAACCACACACTCCCTACAAACTTGATCAACACTCAAGCGCCTGTCGGGTTAACCAGGGCCACAGCAGCCGGGTGGGCGGACCAACCGCATCGGAATCAACCAAAGACTTGGAACCGTTCCGCAGGACGAGGAAGCGAGCCCAAAGAAACCAATTGGCTTACACTTCCTCGTAAAAAGATGTTAGATGCTGGAATGGACGTCCTTTTCTTTCTCTTTATTTGCTTATCACTCTCTCAGCTTTCGGATTTTTTCGAGTAGAAAAAACCCCCACTTGGAATATTCGGTCCGTGAAAACCGAACTTTCGCAACACTCCTATCCTGGACACACTTAACTGCCTCATATTCGTCAACGAACTTCTCAGCATTTGATAACCGGCGTTGTTAATTCTTTGAGCCAACTGATCTGCCCTTTGTCAGTGATTCTTGGGCATTTCAACAGCCAAAGTGCCCTACCTCTCCGTTCTCTTTAAAGGTCATTAACCAGGAAACATCTTTCCCAGTTCCATACACGCACCTGGAGCTTACGGTTGAACTGGTTAGTCAAGTGCAGAGAAACTAGTGACAAGTGTCTGGAGGCGGGCCAACATAATTCGTCTCCCACTGCATATTCTGTCCTTTTACTGCACTCAGTCTTCAGCCTCCTCATCGCTGCCAAGTGATTATTCCCCCAAGAAGTTTATAAATTAGTAACATGTCTGTGCAAAACTCTGGGTCTGAGGCCCTGAAACGGATAACTTAGTTGTGCGCTAAAAGGGACAATAACACCCGGAACAACAATCCAGTCGTTACTGCCAGACAAATAGGGGTACAGCAGTAGGCCGACCTCTTAAAGAAGCGGTTAACCTATGTTTCTAGGGTTCCAATCGCCATCAAACAGATGACACAGAGTAGCACTAGCACTCGCAAACCAGTCCTACCTCCGGCAAGGATCAGACCATGCCTGAAAAGAGAAAACAGCACGCCAGGCTCAAGAATGAGGCAGCCACAGGTAGTTCGCCACAGCCCGTGTCACTACCATCAGGGAAAGAAGGCTGCATCACGACATCCGATGGCTGTAGCACTTGCGCTGAAGTAGTATCGGTGGTCGTTGAGGCATTCGCATGCAACCTGTGTCACTGACGGGTACATCTCCCCTGAGACACCAGGGTACCCCGACAATACCACAAGCTGATGAAGAAGAAGCCATGCGGATGTTTCTGGTGCATTTGTTCAAAGTTCGGGAACCTCCCTGCACTCCGCATGGAAGACGCAAACGAGTGCCGTCTGGCACGCAAAGTCCACCAACGCCCCCGAATGAAGTGGGGTCAACATCAAAGGGTAACGCATAAGGACCTGGAAACAAAGCTAGATCTCCAGCCGTGAACATGCTGCCACGCTCGGGACCACGTTAGGTCTCGTTCCCGTACCCCCTACCCGGCCTTGAAGAGCGGTAAGCGCATCGCAAAAGACAATGACAGCTGGACTCTCCACGAAACCCAGCCCAAACATCCTGGACACAGCGATTAAGAGAAAACCAGTGGAAACGCGCAACAAACCCACCGGGAGGTTGGGTGTGGCACCCACAACGAACGCAAGCCATAGGAAGGTCTACTCGATCATCTTGTTCAACGTCGATGTGTCCATAGACCCATTGTTGGCCAAGAGAGAACGGTCTGACAGCCGAATGTGGACCGACCACTGTCGGATACTGGACTCCCTTCTCCCCCTGCGACACCATGTCGCTTTCCTCGCGGAAGCCGGGCACCCCTAGATAGACCACTTTCTTAGGTGTTTTCGAGCACTGCTAAAGAGGTCGGTGACACATTCCTTGTCCCACGCCAACCGGACGTTGTTATTACCTAAAGAATTCAGACCAGACCTGACAAGCCATGGTCATTAAGAGAGGAGGAGAGAAAATCAGCGGTTGGGAGTCCAGACAGAAGCAACACTACAGTTGTATATGGGATCCCAGAAATTCTAAGTGACCGTTCGGCTAAATATCGGTACTTCCATGACGTCCACCAACGGGTTTGAACCGAAGTCAGTCTCAACAACATACCGGCAAGCAGCGCCGGTAGACTGTTGAGACCAGCGCAGCTGGGGTCCATCCCCACTCGCAGACTACTCACCATCCAGTTCGACTCATACGCCTCACTTACAGGCATCCCACATGCATAGTATAATGGACGGCCCAACACATATGTAAGTGAGCATAGACTCACGAGGGGGTAAGAGAGATGGCAACCGCCGAGACATCTAGTGTAACTGGCTGTTACACAGGCACTGGCCAGTGAGTCAGATACATTGAGCAAAGAAGCTCCCACTGCCACAGTCCCTGTGCAAGTTGAAAATAAGGTGCAAAAAAGGGGAACGATGCCAGTTCTATGAGGACTGGAGATGCTAGACCCGACAACGTAAACGCCACTCCCGCGAAAATACACAACCAGCCCTCTCCTCTCACCAGGCACACCCAAACATGTATGTGCAGCAACGTTGGAGAGTAACAGAGATGAGGGTGCTGAGTCAACGTCAGCACTCTGACATCGTATTTATCACCGAATCCTGGCTCTCGCAAGAAGTCTTCGACGGAGGGATGCATGCCGCTGGCATGGAACTCTTCCGCAGGGACAAAGAGCTCACAGCAGTAGGGTGAGTGGCTCCCTACGAAAGCTCTCGTTTAAAGGCGAGTGGTTAGCGACACCACCCCAGTCCAGCTCCCGGAATCTTTATGGTGCTATTTCACTCTCCGCAGTACCAGATACCTGCCCAGAGTCATATGTCAGTCCCTCGCCAGCCCCCCTATACATAAGGAAATGGTCATCATTGCACTATGGCTTTACAAAATGCCCTACCACGATGCGTCGTTATAGCCCCTTAAGTTGACTCGTCCGAGAAACGGCTAGGTAATTATGTCATCCTGCATGGTCTACAACAGACGTACTCAAGGAGTCACTAACCTCATTAGCACACGCTTACCTCCCTTCTACCTACCACTCACTATCTCTCTCCTTAATAAGCCCACATTGCCTACTTATTCTTCTCTAGAAAATATACCTAACCCATCTACCTTTACCCTTGGGGCATACTTTAGTTTCTCATTTTTTTTCCTTTTCTTTACCACCACCTCACCATTCTAATTCAGACACCTACAGAAACAGGTGTCATGGCAGTTTCTTAACCTTCCCAGCAGCCCGCAGCCCCCCAGATCATTCTACAAGTTGCGACTTACAAACCCACGAAACATCTACCCTACCAAAGCTGAAAGGAAGAAAGCAGAGGAGATTTCCTCTCCCACTGCAGGAGTGAGCCGAACAACTCGAACCAAGCCCTAAGAACTAGACGCGAGCGATCAAAACTAATAGTTTTCTACGCTCGCTCTATCAGTATTAGATATTGGAACAACGAGGGGAATTCAGGGCACACTGCTTTTAGATAAGGAGGTCAGATAGACAGAAGCTTCACCTACTCCTTTACCAACTAATGTATGCTACAGATTGTTTGTTCGCATAAAGTTCGGTTCCGTGTCCACCCGCACTTGAAACTATGTCGGTACTCCGTCTACGACCTTCTGATTAGATTGCGTAGGTCATGAGCTTTATTTGGGACTGGCTTTCTGGTTCCGTTTCTTGGGTGTTGAGTTATCTTGGCTTGCGACAGAAAAATGGGAAGCTGGTTTTTCTTGGATTAGATAATGCTGGAAAGACAACATTACTGCATCGGCTAAAAGATGACCGTATGGCTCAGCATGTTCCTACACTACATCCGACATCTGAGGAGTTATCAATTGGTGGGATGACATTCACAACATTTGATCTCGGTGGCCATGAGCAAGCAAGACGTGTCTGGAAAAACTATATCCCCGCAGTTGATGGGCTTGTCTTCATGGTGGATGCGTATGATCGTAACAGGTTAGCTTCTATTCATATTTTCACGAAGATTGTGAAGATTTTTAGAGTCCAAAAAGGAGTTAGACAATCTTCTACAAGATGAACAGATCGCTCATGCCCCTATATTAATACTTGGGAACAAAATAGACAAGCCAGGTGCTGCAAGTGAAGAAGAGCTGCGTTACTTTTTGGGACTACAGGGAATCACAACAGGCAAAGGTGCTATTAATAAGGCTCAGATTCCTACTGGGAGACCTATAGAACTCTTCATGTGTAGCATCCTCAAAAGACAAGGGTATGGAGAAGCGTTTAATTGGCTTGCTCAGTATCTTGATTGAACATAATATATTCATGTATCTTATTTTAATATGACGAATAATACTTCAATTCATTAAGTAAGCACAGTTTCATACAATTTACTCCAAACCTCCATTAGTATTACTGACCTCCGGTTGCATAAATAACAGTTGAGTGGATGAGACGTCGCTAAACAACTAGTCGGAAAATAATGCAAACATTTCTGGGACCAGATATCACAAAGTAATGTCAGTAAAGTGGAGCTTAGTTCTCGAATAATATGTTCGAGACATACTTGGTCTGCCCTGGTAATTTAGAAAATTACCTTCATGAAGAACCGATGTGTAGGTAGAATTCTTTGATAAAATTTTTGGGAACAGGGACAAACTGGTATTTTTATTTCATATAAAGCACTGCAAATGTTTTGCCAACCAAGACTTGATGGTTACATCTGGAATCTAAACAAGACTTCATCTAATTTTCTCATGAAATCAGGCTTCATATACTGTTTGACATGGCAAGATTTGTTGGACAACCTAATCATTGTATAAGACTGTTACTAGTGGTTATCCTAGAAAACGTTGGTGTCATGTGGAAGTTGCTTTGCATATTTAAGTAACATTGCTGATGCTAACTACACTTCGTATTAGGAGATATTTTGATCGATAGTACTGTAAACCCTGATTCATCACGTACTTGGGATGTGCAATACACAATTTACTTCCATCCCGTTTTTCGTCGAAGCTGATGTATAGGGCCAAATAAGGTAGTCCTTATTCAAGAAGTATTTGTTGGCATGGGGTATTATTGAACAGTAGGCATCAAGTTTGAGACCGACAAGTGATTGAAATTGATAATGTGAAACTCAGGCATATGGTCCAAGTTAGTCACCTAAGTGCAGTTGGACTCACTTGTAATCTTGATATATCTTTGTTGACCTTATTCCTCTTAATGTGAAGTAACCGACATTATTTTTAACTTATATCTGTTGATAATTCACATTTTCTAATGTGTACCGTGGCAACATAAACCTACGTAGTTACGATATGTCGTATGATAGTGTGTTTTTGGCAGTTACGAGTGCACAACTTTATATTAAGGCATGGGGAACTAATTATCATGAATACTAGCTGTTCGATTTTGGTTGTTATTTGTATTTTTCACTACGGTAGCAATTGTTAGCTTCGTATTGCTTGTGTGATACTGTTGAGATGTATTTCTTGTAGAAAGTATTTTAGGAATAGTTCTCAAGATTTGGCAGTTTATATGTTGACGAAGTTGATTTTATAACCGTAGAACCTGACGAGAAGTTATTGAAAAGAGTATTCCTTGTCTTAAAATTTGTTAATCCACATAACTACAGAGCTACTTTGTCACAAATAAGGCATACGTATTATGAACGTTGCATTGTGTTTCGTTGTAAGAGCAATTAGTACGTGGTTGAGTCTGTAGTCCAGACAAGAGACGTCCTACTAGCAGGTTAGAGGTTCAAAACTTGCCCTACGTGCTGAGTCTTAGAGCAACCATGCCGGACTCCTAACCGTGGCTTGTAATGCGTGACTGATTATCCAGTGAATGAACTTGAAAGTATTTTCATGAAGTTAATTATCTTACTATTTGCGTATGAGTATTGATATAGGTTTTTAACCTGACAACTTAGTAAACCGTTTTTGATCCAAGATAAAAGCACATCAACAGAATATGAAACGGCTTTGTTTCATGATGTTCCGAGTTACTACAATTCACATAAGATAGGAAGAAAGGGTATTAGGGTAGTAAAAACACCATAGGGTGATGAGAGGTACAGGTAAAACCTGCAGTTACATCGACGCAACAGATTCTAAACTCCGTCTCCTATCATCCCACGGACGTTTATCTTGTTATATTGTTGATGAAAGTAAACGACTTCATGGACTAAAGCCATATTTTATTTTGGCTACAGTTATTTTTTCCATAGCTTAATTTTACGTCAACTCCCACTCCCCAACTTATTCAGGTGCTTGTTATGAAGGAACGAACCGAGATACACTCAGCCATGTTAACATTTTCACAGTAGTCTAGTTTTTTATAAGGACTGATAAAAACCAGGCCGCTCATAGGAGACGCAGGTTCCGAACTTCTGACCCACTGGTTCAAAGTGTAATACTAGAATCAATGAGCCACAGGTTTAGGTGTATCCTAGTCAATGAGGCAACTTAATTAGATGCCTTCCATCATTTTGGTTTCTTTATTAGATGTACCGCTGAGTGAAAGTCTTATTTCGTGGGAAATGTTTTACACATTAATTAATTACTACACATAACTGCAAGCATTAAGTTGGTGGGTCACTGAGACTTAATTTCATGTTATTTAGTCTTATGTGCTGACCAAATTCTATTGATAATTTTGTAATGTGGTCACCCAGGTAGATGATTATCATGTTGCACTTTGGTTGATGTTCGATGGTTAGAAGCAACCGGCACAAAGACCTTGACGTAGTTTTCCTACTTATTGACATTCCTTAGCAAAGTGTATCTGTCTGTAACCCCGAAGAAATTGATGATAAGTTTCAGCTGCCTTCAGCTAGGAACGTTAAAACTGACACATTCAGGCCGGTTGTACAGTTGCATTATATATATGTTGGTTTCAGACAATTAAAGATTCCCATTGCATATATTGAAAATCAAATATAAACGAAGAATATTCTTTTTAATAACTTCTTGTCAGGTTCTATAGTTATAAAGTCAATTTCACTAATATAGTAGCTAAAATTTGCGAGGGATGCATTTTTTATGGGTATGGAATTATAATTGTAATTAGATTCTTTAAGTTTGTAGATGGTAGTGTAACTTATGTATATATGTTAAATGAGTTAGTAAGTTGAGTTAAACTTTGTCAATTGATTGGTGGTCAGACAAAGTGACTGTATATAACAAGGGGAAAAGAAATTAATAAAAAAGTTCAAGGTTGCATGGTGTCAGGCCAGCGATTAGTACGAAGAATGACATGATTTTACCATGGGGGCGAAAATTGCGTAGGTGTCATCATAAGAGGGTTAAAATGTAAAACCGCTAAGACAGTAAGAGTGATAATCGTGTGAAAAAGTTTTTCTAACAGGGATTCTAAAAGTTTGATGTAATAAGATGGGTGGAAAGTCTCGTTAAAAATAATGGTAATTTTGTTTCCGAACGGAAAAAAGTGAGAACAAAAGCAGAAAAAATGATTAAGAGAGAACCAAAAAGGTTGAGGGGATATGGTCTAGTCAATGGAAGGCTAAGGGAGGAGTAGGGTTTGAACGTGTTATTTCCGAATATTAAGTTCAGGTTAAGCTACAGCTACCGCTATATGAAGGATACGTTAACAAAGAGCAAGTGGTAGTCTTCAGAACGCGGTATGTCACAACGAAAGCCGTGCTAGTATGGAACTTTAATGGATTTGATCTCACCCTTTGCAAGCCATGCCGGTAGATGTTCGCATATTCTAAAACGAACGTGTATAATAGTGCGCCCTATGTAACTTGTTCCACAGGAACAGTTTAGTTGATATATGCATGAGTCTCGGGTTGAACAACGATTGTCTACTATGGAATATGCACAAACGTCCTATTTATTGCTCTGGATAAACTTTATGACGAAGTTTTACTCGGGGTGTCTCTTCTGACTTGCAAGCGCAGAAACAGGCTTTTTCTGGATTCTTGCCAATTCATGTTCGCTGGTATTTTGAGGGATGTTTACTTTTACAAACTTTTCAGGATATCCGTTATCCCTTGAAATATCCTGAAGGACTTGTATTTCTTTCTCGACACATCAAAGAAATGAAGAAAATTATTACATGCACATTCGTTTGTAAAATGAACTGCTGGATGGGCGTTATTGAAGTGGTTGAGGATCGAAGCAATATTTGTATTCGCTATAAACTAGGAGTGTGTCATCCATCAACTGACAGTACAAATCTATGTTGGTAATGTCGTTCTTCAGTGGCCTGTTTTTAGTTTATTATCATTATTATTTGTCCTTTAGGTTCCTAGTGGAACCTAGAGCTTCAGTAGCACGTCGCCATTTCACTCTATTCCCTACAATCTTTTCAACCTGGCCTCATAACTGTCCAGAAGCCTTCATTTCTTCTTCACATGACCTCCTCCATGTCACCCTCGGACGCTTAACTGAACGTTTCCCCTTTGGGTTGCACTCGAGGGCCCGACGCATGATGTCCCCGAACGGTCTTCTCAGTGTATGCCCAACCCGTCTCCACTTTCTTCTGCATATTTGTTGGGCGATAGGCTCTTGGTTGGTTTGCTCCCAGTGTTCCTTGTTTTCTAATTTAGCTAAAAGTATATCAGCAAATATAGGGCCTAGTTTGGCTTCCATCGCCACACCATCTGTGTTTATAGATTTTGCTGTTGAACAAGAACTGAACATTGAGCACTTGACCAGCAACTCCCTTTAACTCTCAATGTATTTATTTTCCTTTCTACCAGTTGTTGGCAGATATAATCCACAGTTTCAACAGGAGAAACATGGGTAAATAAAGATGTTACATCAAGAGATGCCATACCTATATTTATAAGATTTATGTTACTTATTCTGTTGACAAACTGGAAGTTGTCAATAACACTATATCTGACTAGTTCATTCCGTTAAAGGCAGTAGCAGTTTTGCTAGTCACTTTTCAGTCCATGTTTTAGACACGTCACATTCGCACTTCCCCTATTGATAGCTGCTATTTTGGCGTGGTAGATGCGCTTGCATACCACAATGACCCAAAGAGCTATAGAAATGAAGATTTCGGAGCTATTAACCGACTTTTCTTCGAATACTCAAGGTCTCTGCACATTTTAACCGAATACTCAATTTGTTTCTATTGTAGTCTTTTCTGTTTTTACCTGCGAACTTTTTTTGTTATTGCCATTTTCGCTTTTGTGTTTATCGTCACTTCACTCAGCCGTTCCCCAATGCTTAGGCTTCTGGTCTGTCCGTACCGTTTTG